TATTATTTTTAATTACTTAAACTAATTAACTCTGAAAATGTGGACTCAAAACGAAATCAGCAGGACGTATTGAATATAGTATAGATTTTGCACACAAACAACTACTTTATATTATAAATGGACTTTATAAAATGCTTAAAAGATTGATTCTCACTTAAAGCTAAAAGAAAAAGGTCTTGAATTAGGTCAATTAAATCGGCTAGCGATACATAATAATGGGCCAAAGGTCTAAATGTTAAAATGGATTTTCCTCAACCTTTTATGTATTATCAAAAGTTGGTGAGAAATCATTTATTAAAGTCAGGTTTTATCTGAAATTCGTCATGGGAAGATTAAGAATAAACAATTCCTCTAACAATGGTATAAATTCATCCTCTGGACCCTTTTATTTCACTGGAGTCTCAGCACAAAAGATCTAATTAAGTATTATATTACTAGTTGCTGATTAAAAGGGGCATACTCCTTTTATCACTCTTATCCACTACAAGTGGCTAATTTAATGGAGAAAAGTATTCATGATTTTGACGAAGAAGCTAAATAAGTACTTACGGAACCTGATCCTTTCTTAAAATACTTTGTTTTGCATAAGTGTAGGCTTGTTCCCTGTTATAAAAAAATAAAGATGGAAAGTGGGGCTATGTGGGGTTTTTTTTTGGTTTGATATTTGTATAAAGCCTTTCTGTCGTACCTCATTATCATATGTATTAAAAGATAACATTATGCGATATTATACTAATAATTATAATTATACTGATAAGCACAGTCGTGAACAAATAATTAAATTTGAGGAAAGTATGCCGAATAAAAAATCCTGAAAAATAATGTACTCACCTTGACCGCCATTGTCAATTAGGTAATCATTATCTAGCTAGAGAAGAGAGAGTTCATCATACTTAAAACTTTGCGATTAGACATTTTTAGATTGACTTTTAAATCTAGACTTAATTAAACAAGGATAGAAATGCTCAACACATCAGCTATTTCAATTTATCATTTTTGAGGTGGCTTTCATTTTGTAGAAAAGCGTTTGCCAGAGATTTTCATTGACTGACCTCACTAAAAGACGATGATGATTCCCCCTGGTCTATTGTTTTATTTTACTGGGACTTGTATGCTCAACAATAGTCTGATCATTCTCTTCCAGTTCCGATTAAAATATTTATGATCCTTCGTCGGTCATATGACAGAAATCATCGGAGCTGGAACTCATTATTATATCACTTCATGTTTAGCAATGTGTATAGAAAGCCAACCAGATAATTTCTATTCTCTATATGTATTTCATCAAAAATGAATTTATAGAATTGTTTAAATATTTTATGAGTTCATTTTTATCTAAATCCATGCATATATACACTAGTGTCTGTGTGCGCATGCGAGTATGGGATCATAAATTATAGCTCTTTCTAGTTAGAGCAGAACATAAAATCTCTACCAGGTCATATTCGCTCATCAGGCTTTTGTTGTCTTGGGCCAATGCATCACTGCGGTTGTGTAATACCGAAACTCTGTCTAGTTAATTTGATAATCTTCACGTGTTGAATCAGATGTGTAGCATATGCTAAATCTTAATGAGCCAGCTGGAGCATTTAAAGCCATTTTATATCATGTCCAGCTTCAGCTTAAAGTTTATCATAGATATTTTCACTAATAACTTTCAAGACAATCTTCCCAATTAGAATCTCTATTAGGGATGTACAGATGAGTCTAAACCATACATTTGATAGCAAGAAGTGGTAGAGTTTATCATAAACTTTTGATTACATCTCAATTATTAAAGCAGTAATTCCCAAACTGTGCGCCGCGGCCTCTTTACAGAGGCGCTCCGAAATATTGTAAAAGCTTCAATTTGAGAAAATGTGCAGTGACTTGCAAGCTCATCCATCACATTAATTATTAAATATTAATTTAATGTTAATAAAGTTTAAAATAAATAATGAAGATACACTAGTTTTATTTATTTTTATCTCCTACTTACAAATAGTCATACTTAGGGTAGGGCGTCATGGAAAAATTTTAATTGAAAAAGGGCGCCGCGACTATGAAAAGTTTGGGAACCACTGGATTATAACAATCTTAACTAACAATTAAGCGATATATGCTATGGTACTCGCGTCCTTTCTTCAAATTAATTTTGGGTAATGGCAATTTCGCACACCTTGTGGGGATACACGATAGTCAAATAAACTGATAAAAAAAAGTAAAGTCGTTACTTGATTTGAAAAGAAATAAAGCTTGAATAATGCAGAGGCATACGTTATTCGTCTCTTTAGCCTCATTATACACTTCTATTGTCAACCTAGATGCTATTATCCTTTGCATTAGGGCAGGTTTGAATAAAGTATAAAAACATCATCAAGGCCTTATAAATAAAGATATTTTTAGATAACATTTTAACTATAGACACTCCTTTGAGAAGCTAAAAAAGTTTTGTGATTATATCTTTAAGCAGTATAAATAATAAAACTAACTATACACTACTCTTATTTCACATATTTATTGAGAAACTGATATACTTACACTGGCTTCAGAAATCAGAGCACATGTTTGGTCAAAGGATCGGCTTCACTTTTCTCTTAGACGAGCTGCTGTGTGGTACTAAGAATGGCGAGACTCACTGACGTTGCCGACTACGATGCCGGTGAAACGTCTGGGAATGTACCACGACCACGGTCCTACTCTGGAAATGATCAGGCATGCAATGGACTCCGAACTAGGTGCTCTTCTCTAAGTTTTCCTACCAATATGACCAAGTTGCGAAGACAAGGTTAAACAACTTCTATACAACGAAAGGAGACTACGACCGTACGAAAGGCTACGCCATCTTGGTATTCATACCTTCTACTAAGGGATTCTTCGAAATTCAACTTCTCTTCATATATAGTTTAGATTGAACTTTTCAAGTCATGTACCAAAATGCTTCCAACTATCATGAATTATTAAATAAGCTTTAAATATCAACTTATTCTTACAGCAACTATTAAATTAAGGTGTGTCTTATCTAGAAAGACACATGTATTAAGTAGAACATTTGTGCCAAGATATAATGGCTTAACTTCTAACACCAAATGTAGTGGCTGATGATATTTATACGAGATCTAAATTGACTTTGTATCTGATTTGAATAACCTTAATACAATTTTATTAGTAGGATACAGGATGCAGTGGAATAAAACGCTAAGCCTAACTTCTTCATTTAGTGCACTTTAAATGGTAGAGTTATTAGTACTTGAGAAACAAAGGAGCGCAAATTGCGTTTTACTTCATACCTTGTCTCATAGTTTTTGTTTTCCCTCAAAAGCATGCATAAACAACGATAAAGATGGCTTTACAATATTTAAATCCTCATAAATAGGTAAAATTTAACAGAGTTGTTCTTCACTAATTATACAATTATTCGGTAATATCGGAATTGCTTATGGAGTAGAACAACTTCAACCAACCTCAAACCTTGGTTGCCTTCAGTAGATACTCATGCATTTATGATAGTGGCTCTGAATCGTTTAACAAAACTTAAGTTGGATGAGGTTGTCGAGAACCTCAAATTGGGTTAAGCATTTTCAGTAATATTAATGAATGGATTTCACTTACGCGTTAGTGTTGCTTGTAAAATAAAAAAAATAAAAATTTTAATACGAACTGATGGCCAAGCTAGCAAATTTGCATCTGTAATGCTATAAAATTCTAATTTTTAAGGTGAACTAAAATAGCGAGTTACAAGTGGTTGTACACATTGAACCCCTTATAAAGTTAAGCTGTGCTCACTTTGATAGAATGGCTGACTTGTTTCCAAGTCTATGAGCCTCAGAAGCCACTGGACGCTTATGGTTTTGTTGAGCTGACGACTGGTAATGTAAAAATTGCTGCTGCAGCTGCTGAATGTGGTGTTGACTTTTAGTATTATTTTGTTGATTTTGTTGGCGGTTTGTTGCTTGCGCCCGCACAACATATCGTTGATTCGTTTTATCAAAAGTGGCCTTAGAGGCCGAGGCTTCAAGATCTCTGGTTGACTTTCTGCTTGTTCGAGGAAAATGCAAAAAAGATGTTGGCCCGTTTTTGATTGCACCAAAAGTTGAGCTGAACTCCTGACGGACATTGCCTGATAAGTCTGAGAGGATAGAAATGGATTTTTGTCCCGATGAGATGGGGCCTGCAGTTGGTGTTGTGTCTGTGGCAGATATGACGGTGGTGCTGAGAAAAGAGGGTAAAGATGAAATGGGGCAAGTAGTACCGGCAGTTGGACTGGTGAAGGAGCCTGAAAACTGATGAGAAGAGGTTTGTTTTTTGATAATATGCGATTCATCATTGGACGTTTCGAGGCAATTCCCGTTGCTCATTTGTGTAACTTCTACGTCATCACAACTGGACGCTTGCATTTGTGATTCGATTTCTAGGCTAGTCTGCATTTCTGGCAAATATAAACTGTTGCCATGGCTCGGCGTCCCAGAACAGTGGCTGCAGACTTCACCGGCACCCGATGTCAGGCAGATGAGCTGATTGCATGTGCACATGTCGCCGTTCACTCCTTCTCTGATCGCCCTCGTCTGTTTCATCCGCCAAGACGGATGTGCCCAGTGGGTTTGGAGGCTGTTGTCCGGCGACTTGACATTTGTTTGAGGTTGTAATGCAGCCATCAACTGCAAGTAGGTTGCAATGGCTTGCTGGCATAAAAGTCCACCCAACGGTTGTCCGGACATTTGGGCAGCAAAACGCATGGAATTGGGCTCATTCTGCCGGTCACTGGCCAGACCTGACCATCTAACAGGCACCTGACAACCGGGCATTATTTGAAGACAGGGAGTTGGTGTTGCTGACGGTGATGGCATTGGAGTGGTTGTTGGTGTGTGAATGGGAGTCTGTGCAGTAGATGGCGACAGAGAGGAGAGGCGAGTTGTCTGTATGGTTGAGGCGAGCGACATGGATAAAGGCATGGCGAGTGAAAGTGGCGATGGGCCCACTCGAGGAGGGAATAAGGGCGTCTGTGAAAAATGAGCCACCGGCATTGCTGATGATTGTTCTGTCAAATCTGGGAAAAGAGTAGGTGACATTCGAAGACTCTGCCCAGAATTGGGGGGATATGAGTTGGTCAGGCCGGTCGGGGAAAAGGGGAAAGTGACGGACAGAGGAAGTGTGGCTCCAGATCCGAACTTCACCTCCCTTGTCTGGAAGGGGTCTAGACGACCGTGAGGAAAGTTGCCTATTCCCAGACCCTGAAGAGTATGTGCGTCTGGTTGCTGTCGGCGATTGGCCAGCTCACGAGACAGGAATGTCGAGGAGACGCCCGCCTCAGAAATGGTGTTGAGAGAATGCTGTGGTAGGGTTGCCGGGGCAGCAAAATGGTTGACGTTCAGGTCGAAAAGACGACCTCCGAGGGTTGTATTAAGCAGAAGAGTTGTCACCGGGGCTGAGGCTGGATTCGTGGGCAAGCCTGTGGTAGTTGGGGGAAACCGGTTGACAGGCAAGCGTGAACAAGATGCACTGTTGGGGGTCATCTGCCTGTTGGGCGCGGTGGATGAAGATGCCAGTTTACACTGTCCTATGCCGAGTGGTTTGGGCGACAAGAGGGGAGCAGATTCGGGACATTCAAGTTCTGCGGAGCTGGAGCCTGGGAGGTAACAGACAGGCGTAGCGAGACCACTGGGGCTGGTTGGGAATAAACTGTTCAGCCAAGCAGAACCCTAAAGTCGGTTGGAAGACGTGGAAATTTGGACCAGAGTTGAGCTCAAAGCTCATATAAACAGGCGTTCTATTGCAAACAGCAAGACTAGGCATGGTAACTCGTATAGTAACAAACACAAAACGATGGAGGATGGTAGTAAAATCGACTCTCAAGCAGACAAGGCTCGAGGTCATTGGGTAAAAGCATTATATATGCTTTAAAATAAAACGAATAAGGTCTCCATGGCGGCAAAAAATGTCGATTTTTCTATCTAACTTGGATAGATGGCCAGTTTTTGTCATAAGCAAATCAATGCTTCCCAAACTGTTTGATGCATCCCCTGCTAAATTAGGTGTTATACACACTCCCAATGTCGCTTCAGTTGACATGGATTTTTCAGCATAGATACGCATTGCTGATTCTGAATTTGGCCTTTTGGAGGAAAAAAAGCAAGACGATTTTATTTTGAAGTAATATAGTTGTAAACCGTGTCGATGCTTTTCGAGACTCCTTCCAATCGGTTTAATACAAGTTATCAATAAACATTTGATAAGGCTGAAATTTAAATGAGGGTTTCGCTAGTTAAGGCGAAGAACATGTGTCCAAGTGATTTTAAAATTGGTGGTAATTGATGGAAGAATGAAACCACCAAGTTTGGGATAATCGACATGTCTAGAAGACCATAAAAATTTACACATTTCGAATAAGCGATTTACTGTACATCCAAGAAATGCAAAGTTTAAATGAATTTTTAATTCTTTAATAATTAATTAAAGAAAATCACGTTTTTTCGTCTGACCACGTGCAAAAAGGAGTATTTCTCTGATAAACTCTGCAGTCGTTTTATTTATTCAGTAGTTGCCAAAACTTTGATAATGGCGTAATTTTCACTTCGTTTGAGAAGGCGGGTAAAAGGGATTCGTAGATAGGCATCCTGGGATACAGCAGGACGCTTGCCTTGGACTTTTGTATGTTTAAATGTGCGAAGAAAATCTCACTTCACCGTCCTACGACTCCGATGACTCAGTGTTGAGCTTTCGTCCGTCCTGTGACGGACATCGTCAGAGCCAGAAACCATTACTCACAAAAAATTACCAAAAACACTAAAGCGAGAAAGGTGACCAGTTGACATCCTATTTATTTCTTCTACCACGCTCTTAGATCTTGTTGAGGCATTCCATTATTTGGTTGGCTAACTTGTGATTGTCCTACATGCAGGTAAGTGGGCCAAAGTGATAGAGGCAGGGGAGAGGATTTGGTCACAGCTTCAGTCAATGTTGCCCTGGGTTTTGTAAAAGTTTCGTGGATGCGTGTTTGTTTGTGTATGCAAGAAAACAGAATTTGTTGACAATTTTAGGTTCAAAAACAAGCTCCAGCTTAGCCTAGTTTTATCCTCTTACTCAGTGGCTCTTCCTGTTTCCTTTCCTTTTCCCTCTCCCTCATTCTATTTAGAAGCTAGAGATAGTTCTTACTTAGTTTCCTACACTCATTTCTCATATTCAGGCAAAACGTAGAGATTTATACCACTCACTTTGGTGTCATGTAGCGACCATATGTTCAGCCATTTCCGATTTCTGAATTCATAAACTTTTGTAGGCGGTTCTGTGTTCTGTTAGCGTCTTATGAATGGGTCGACAAGTCTCCCCTCCATAAACACTACAACATGAACACAAAACCTTATAGCAACCTGGTCTGCAGAGGGCGTTGGAGGATTCTCTAAAAGAATGCATGATCGAGTAAAGCGTTATTGTTTTCTAATACCTTATCATGACGCTCCATTTCCTCAATAATTCGCCTATCTTTCTTGAAAGCTGGCAGGATAGTAGCATTAGGATCTGATATTCGTATTAAAGTAGGGTTTCGAGACTACCAGTAACTCAGTGTAATGAGATGTATTCACCCTATT